GCCAGACCTCGATGGCTGTGGGTGCAAGTGCCGGGCAAGGCAGAATCGTGTGGATGCAACTGATCCTTCATTATTCCTGGGTTATGGTGCGGAGTCGTAAAACGAAAAGGTCGATCGCCCTGTCGTAATATGTGGCAAACTTTTTGTGGGTGCAAACTTGGGTGCAAGCAGCTTTTCGGTGAATGCATCTGAACCCACAAGCGCCGCCAGTGTTTCTAACAAAATTAATTAGGAGTGTAATTATTTTCATTCACAATTTGTGTATTAAAGGAAGAAGAAAATGTTGAGAAATCTTTGAAGTCGTGCACTTTTAGAACTGTATATAGACGTTTAGAAGCCTCGAGCTTTATAATTACGCGGGGGGGGGGGCTTTTGTGCTTGGCTGACATTGCCGTAAGACTTACAGACATATATGTAAGTTCCAAGAATACAAGATTACGACAGAAGATCAAAGAAGATGAACTAGCGTAGGACGGAAGAATATTCAATTTGTCAGTGATTTTCTTTTCAGACTTTCACAGCATTCTGTATGTTACTCTTCCCTCTGACAAGGAGAAGATTAATCGATTTTGTGTCAAAATAAAAAAGTATACATGTAGGCTATAAGTCTGAACATTCAAGACTGTTCAGTATTCTGATTATCAGTTGTTCAGTAACCCATACAGAGGAGTTCCTGTATTCAATAGCAAATCTATCCTGATAAGTATTCCAAAGAAAATTTTGCCGATATTATTTAGCTTTCACTTCTAGCACCACCATTGGCATACTTTGTAATGATGACTGCATAATTAGCTTTTAACATAGCGATTGAAAATCGTATATTTTAGAGAAAGATATTAACATTACATGCTGAGATTATAAAGCACAACAAACACATCTTGTAATACAGTCATTTGCAAAAGAGAAGACCTTCTGGAAATCTGTTGATATTTGTGTTACTGGTCCTGCGTTATATTGTCTCATTGAATGATTACATGACATGTTTTTACAGTATAGTAGATAACACAGTCGTGTTATGAGCCCATTTGAATGATTTTTTTGCAAAGGCAGGTCTTGTAGACGTCATCAGAAAGAGGAGGGCACACTAAATATAAGACGGTTACAAGCAGTTGTTCAACCAATATGCTAAGATTACTCATTGAAAATAAACACAAGTTGCCATGATTAATTAATATAAGTTTGGTTTTTGTTATGATTAATGCATCATGTATGTTTAGTCCTACACCTTTCCAAATGACTGTAATGCGCAAATTACATTTTTGTGGGTTTTATGTCGATGCTTTAACACATGAAACAAACTGCGAACAGTTTGAGGGAAACCAACTGTCACAGAGTAATATCAAATCGGAATTACTCTTAAATTAATAATTCCGTATAATCTTGTCCCTAATTGTTGAAAAGATAAACGTGGTATTTAGTCGTAAAACAAGATTTGATTTTCCTGAGCCGCCACACCCAAACATTCCTGAAGTCAGTCAACCTTACCAGAATGATGGACTGAGTGCCAGGTGAGTTGCTATTGGTAGACATAGCACTTATGCATTGATTTGAATAATGAATATTTATGAAGGGTAGTACACAAAACATTCTGAGTTCTTTGGAATAAGGCGTGGCAGTGCTGGAATTTTTCCTTCGGGTTTAAAAAGAAAAAGATATGGGCTGGTGTGATCAGTTCATTGCTTGATTCCGAGGAGAGGGCAGCGGCCAGCCTCAATGACTTGTAGTCGTGAGTCAATGAGTTAGTCTTGAGTGACTTCTAATTATGGAAGTAGAACAAACGGCATGTACGTTCAGACTGTTCTGAGAAACGGAAAGCTAGGAAACGCCCAGTTCCTGTAATTTAGCTATGTATAAATATGATACATTGGACATTTATTTTATACATTCGTTCCTTGCAAAACCAGATATTGAGCCAGTGAAAATGAGATTTGCCGAGATATTGCATAAAATTATAATAGGTCTAAGTAATTTGAGTTGAGGATGTTGCAGCACGGAAACAATTTACCGTCATCTTGGAAGTTTGACACAATTCATAACACTTCAAGCTTATTAATGAATATTTTGCATTAAATGTAACTTGGCCGGAAAAACCAGAAACATGGGAATATGGTTGTAATTTTCAGGGTTTTATTAGTTAAGAGGAAGAGGGAGTCGGTTGACCCTTGGTAACAGAAGGATTGGGCCGCGGCGGTGGGACGCAGAAACTTAGCGAGTCAGCCACAGGCCACAGAAGCCGACTACAACGCGAGAAACAGAAGCACCATGGTGGCAGGACATTGAGGTGCTCATCACCTCATTTATATTGTAATTAAAAATGTCAATGCAAGAAATTATCCTTATTTTTGTTCTTTTATAAATAAATGTAAATATTGTGTAGGCAAACAAATTTCCAGCAACAGGTGTGTATATATTTGTGTCTGAGCTACCAAAGGTCTGTCCCTAAGGGTAGGACAACTCTAGGGGTGTGACACCAACACTATATAACGTGTGAATATTGCTTGCATTTTACCGAATGCAAAATGTGGTACACCATGCATGCGCTTAGGTTTTGCTACACGTAGCTTCTTCTTTTAATATAAAATTGCCACTTCAATTTAGCATTATGTGGTGTCGTATTCCGTTTGTTGAACGAGTGAATGCATTTTGCATGATCTCTTTGCATGCATGATATATCACTTTGTGGTGTAGTGGGCAATATCTCGCCCAATATTGGAGATGGCTTACCCACAAATTGCAGCTGATAAAAGGCTGTTCAGTCTTAAAATTAATCTGTCCCCATTTATTTATTCGATCGCTGTGAATTGTGCAAGGGAAGGTGTTTCATAAAAGATTAATTTCATATATGAAAGAGGTGAAATAATTAGCGCTTTCCGTCTGACATGCACGAGTACCTGAGTCAGTTACCGAAATAAATGTCTGGAGTAATTGCAGTGGCTGCCAGTGTACATGTACAGTGGCTATTTTCTACATGCCCACTGCGACTGTAGTCAAAACCCAGAAAGCATCTCTTGCTGTATGTATAAGCGTCTTGTGTGTTTATTTTTATATTTTGTTTTCTAAACTTGAGTCAGTAGACTGCCATTCATCCCTCATGAAAACGTGTGAAAATGCTTCAAAAACATCAATTTTTCTGGAACCACAATGGTTGCAGTGTTTGTCCACATTCACCAACATTGCCAACCTGGCCGTACTTACATTACCTTTTTGAAAAATTACCAAGCTTTCAGGTATATGCGATTTACCTACTCTGATAGCCCCATCCTAAAGTGAAGAATGCGCGATTTCCAAGAAAGAGACATGTTTAGCCAGAAGACTGACTAGTATTTGCTCTCTTCTTGACATGATAACGTTGCCCGCACTCAGGGTGTATCAAGTCTGACCCAAAATTGTCATGAATAACTCGAGGAAGGATTTGTCATACTTTTTTTTTTTACCTTTTCATCGCTGGGACGGAAGGGAAAAAGGAGAGCAGGGAAGCTAGGAGTATGACGCCATTAAGAAACGATTCTTTGTCCAGAAGGGGCTAATAATTATCCTGCTGCTGCAATTAAATTCAATTAGCTACTCTCTCTGGCTGATGAATTAATCTTGGCAAATGCGCGGCTGATAGCGAAGACAATACGTGAGGTGATTGTTAATGGATGAGTAGCCTTGCCGTAATGGACCGTGCGAAATTGCATGCCGGCAGCGGCATTATGCATCGAACTGTCCGAACTTTCAAATGATAGAAATATGTACATTGTGCACTGAAACTGAAAAAAGTTTACATTAATTATGCACAAGCTTCTTGATGCTTTTTCGTAGCCATGACGACACCATTCATCTAAACTGCTAGTGTGCCATCACATTTTTCGTACGAGAGCTTTTCATATGTGGGTTACGTTTTTTTTACTCATTCTTCTCCTACCGGCAAGAGGTCGATCGCTACTATTGTGTAACTAGGTATTCATTCTAGTATAGTAGTATAACTACTGGAAGCTGCATTGTTTTTATACAAAGAAATCACTTCTTCGTGTTCATGGCAGGTACACTGTAAAAACAGCGCTTAGAATTTAAATACTACTTCTGCTCTCACTTTTTAACACGTTCAACCCACAACAAGTTAATTAAACATTAAAATGTGTTTGATTAAATGCAATTTTCCACGGTACGTTTAGCTTTATGAAAACTGTGGAGCATTTTAACACAATGCCATACGCATTTTAATTTTAATTTAATCTAAACGTCTGTGAGACGTGTTTAGAATCTGGGTATAAAATATTTAGAAACGTGTTCGAACTCAATTACCGTCTTTTTACAGTAAACATGATACCCCGCGTTTCAAAAATATCATCAATGAGTGTAATTATAAGATGTTGTCATTATAAGGAAAAGTGCTAAAGAGAATGTGTTTATAAACCGCCTTGAATTTTATGCCGGGACCGTTGATCACCGACTCCCAGATGGTCCTAATTCCATTTAAATTTTTTTGCATAGAAAGCACTTTAATAGTTTGAGTCTCGAAATATTAGGCAAACGAGTCTTTTTTAATAATATAAATAAGAAACGTTACTCTTGACTGTCCTGTCTTTCTCGAAAGTAATGTAATTTTTGTTAAACGCGTGATACTTGGTAAAGATTTTTAAATTTTTGTGAATGTATGTACTGCTATACTGAATAAACGGCAGGATTTGAAACACCCATGGGTAATGGAAACGTAGTAGAACCAAAATTAAAACAAAATGTTACCTATCAAAATGAAATGAACAAACGTATCAAACTAAAGATCGCTCATAATGCTTACTTTGGAGGTTTGCATGCAACAAAGTTGGGCAAGCGCAATGTGTTTTCATGTTTACTTCTTAATTCAGTGGAATAATCCACGTGGTTGCCATGACAACCTTTAAGGGAGACCCGCATGCGGCGCCTTACTGTTTTTCGTATAAAATGAGAATTATGCAAATTCGCTCTGATGTCCCTCCCCTCTGTTGACTGAGAAATGTCAACGTGTCGACATTCCTGTTGCAGTTATTAAATTAAACAACTGTTTTTGTGACTTTGTGTGTGCCACGCAGACTGTACCCAGTCAGTGGAAGAGTCCTCTACCTCGTTGCTTGCTCTGTTGTAGTGAGTTGATCGGAGTTTCGCTCACTGTGGAGCTACAAGTAGCGTTCGGCTTTGTCGTACGATTTTCATTCGAAAGCGTACTTTTTCAAAGCCTTTGTTTTCATTCATAGCTGTGCGGAACTCGATTTGTGCTGTCACACCGCCAAGTTATTATTTAAGACAGGAGTGTTATTTGCTTTCATTGGAGCAATGCAAGGTAGGTTTCCACTTTCACAGTTTTGTTTTATTTGTAAATAGTACGAACACAGTGTTTGAAAAAAAGAAGCTTTCCGTTACATCTGATATATAGGATGAACAGACCCCTTGCTACCTAGAAAAATCAAATGAGCATTGTAAATCTGATTGTTACTGGTTGTTACTGTGATTGGAAGCAATGGTCCCTTTCCTACGTCAAAACCCCTTAATTGTTGGTACGTTGTGGAAATCCTTTGAACACATTTAAAATGGGCTTCAGGTTCCGGAAATTTAGAGGAGAAAGAGCACTGTTGTCACACTTGTTGCCCGCACGGTCGTTTACAAGAGTGGTTTTAGTTACCAAGCAGCCACGGTTTCAAACAAAATGCTTTTGGTTGTAGAATCTAATCCTGCTTCTGTTCCCTAACATTAGGATACACAACTCGACAAAAAGAGTGAAAATGACTGCAGATTGAGAAAACATTGACAACAAATATAAAATTTAGTGAAGGGAATTTACATTCGCAAAGGCTGTGATAAACATTCCGTTTCCTTATTCTGCTTCGATTTCCTGAGGAGAAATGTTGGCCAACCATAGGGAACGGGATACTTGATAGAGGTTTTACATTTCGCACCATACCATTAAAATAAAAAAACGAACAAAATGTGGTCGGAACAAGAAAACAGTATTCAGCCATTAAATACTTTTTCTACGCACTTTCTTGCTATCAGTTTAACACGTTTGTATACAAAACGGGTGTAGACTTTAGATGAATAACGTTAAGCCATTGAACATTATGTTAAAGTCAAGTGTGTAGCATTTTCATCGATTCATTCTTTCATTTTTGTTTTAAGGTTAAAAAAGATGGTGGCCACAAAAAAGTCCAAAGACTAAAAATGTTAGGTTTACAGAAATAATTAATATTTACAATGATAGCCAAACATTACATACATGTAAACAGTATAACTTAAACAGATAAAACACAATTACAGTGACTCACATTATAGATAAAATTTTAGTGAATAAAATAGAATAAGATAGAACAATTACATACAAACACCTAAAACCACAACTACTGCGAATTGATTAACCTGATCATAGAGGGGACAGGTGATTGAATGTTCAGGACATTGATAACATCGTTATATGGCAAGACATTTGGGTATAAGGATTATGCGAAGTGCACGCTTCTGAATTCTTTCAATACTTTAATCTTAGTTTACAGTCACACCCGAAGACCAAACCACTGCACCGTATTTAAGTGTAGGGCTAGGTCGCTAGATTTAACACCATTTTGCTTAAGTTTGCTTAGAATGTAAAGTCTACGAGAGGCACTTGTAATGAGTTGCTGAATCTGCTGGTCCCACTTAAGCTCATTCCGGATGGTCAGTGCAAGAAGTTTAATGGACGAAATGACCTCAAGTTGCACATCATTAATTTGGAGATGCAGGGGCGGAGGTGGGTGGTGTAGGAATGAGATAGCTTTGCATTTTGCTGGGTTTGGTTTCATATCATTTTGGAACACCAGTCCACAAGTGAGTCAATATGCAATTGAATACTCGATGATTACTGCTTGGTTATGATCTCAACAATGCTGAGGTCGTCAACATATTTCCAGCGATTTTCCAGTGTTGGGTAGCATCATTTACCATGACAAGGAAGATAATTGGTCCTAGTTGTGTGCCTTGCGGGACACGACGAGTGAGACTGATGGGGTGGAAGTATATCCCCGAAAACGAACATTTTTTGAGCGATGTGATAAAAAAGTACATATAGTCGGAATAAGAGATCTGTCAACACCAAAATGTATCAGCTTTTCATCTGCTATCGTGTGATTGGTATGGTCAAAAGCTTTGCTAAAATCTACCGCACATAAATTTACAAAGTTACCAGCCTTATCAAGGCCATTGTGAGTAATTTCAGGCATGCTAATGAGATAATGGTCAGTTGAGCTATCTTTCATGTCCCTCATAATCCAGTCTGCCAAGAAACCTTTAAAGATTCGGGCTATCACAGACGTTATGGAGATAGGGCGAAGTTGGTCGAAGCTGGTATTACTCGGGTTGTTTTAGGAACAGGGAAAACTGAAGTATTTTTCCAAATATTTGGGAAATCCCAGGGACTGAGACAAAAGTTAAAAATAATGATAAGGGGCTCAGAAAGTTCAAATGCATATTCCTTCAAAAGTTTAAATTGATGTTGGTATTGGCCATTGATTAGTTGCCGAAAATGCTCAGTCATGCGGTCAGGGTTTGCATTTAACTCATAAAACACTGACCAGTCCATTTGCGTTATCCATTGCCCAAACTCACGGGTGAATGAATCACGAAAAGGTCGAAGTTAAAATGAAGAGGGTTCTATTGGGGCAATAGTACGAAAGGGGAGAACCGTTATCACCGAATGGTCAGTGGAGGAGATTGGAGCTGAGATGACTGGATCTAAGTAGTTCATCATGAAGATCGGTTAAAATTCTGTCCAGAATCATGTTACCTCGGATGGAATCAAATTATCTCGGAACGATTTATACCATTGCAGTGTTTCGCTCAATCTGGTGTGTTGGGAGGTCACTGACGTCACCCATAATGGCAAAGGAGGCATGTTCATTTGTCAGTCGGATGTTGTCAACCATAGTAATGATGTGGTCGCGTCGGGGAGTTGATCCTTATACTGTGACTGAGGCGACGAGTATAAGACACAAACATAAATGTTTCTCATCAGTCGAGTAGACCTTGATAATGTCAGGTTAACCCATAAGACTTCAAGATGAGGAGGAACGATGTCAGCAAAAGCATCCCTTGCATTAATGCTGTCACAAATGTAGGGAGCAACACCCCAGGATTTGTAGCAGAAAACCAGGTTTCAGGAACTGAAATAACACGGATGTTGTTCTGTAAGATGAATGTGGCTTCAAAGTCATTGAATTTGTTGCTCAAAATTGTTGGATATTCAGTGTTTGGGTGTTAATGAGCACTGATCTGTTAATCTTACGGGGATTAGACATTTAAACGTGTTATAGCAAGATTGTATTTAACTACTAACAGATTTTAAGCAATTAACAATATTAATTTAAAATACGGAACCAAACATTTGTGTCAAATTACCCCGTGCAGGTGTGGGACAAGTTGAAAATAGAGTGTGATTTAAAGGATTAAATTCAATGACAATGAATTGGAGTGAGGCTTAGCTGTCTATTCGTGGGTACAATTTAAACAAGATCTTTGCGATCAACAGTAATCGAAGAGGAAAGCGTATATTTTAATATGTGTAGGGTTTGTTTTTTTTAGGAATCTTTGGAAGCAACGCCTGATATTTTTCATGGGAGTGTGTGTGCAGGAACTGTTTATTTTTCTTTATGTCCGCAACTGACTTTAAAAAAATGATGGAAACCAAATTTAACACCAAAACAACTTTCTAATTTGTTACAAAAGCTTCTATCTTGATTTTGTGTGTTTCTTTCCTTGCAAAATCCAACAAAACTGAATTCCTGCCAGACTCTGACAGTGGCTTCTAATAAATCTACATGACTATACTCATTTTCGAATAACTGCTAAAATCATTTACTTTTTTTGATGTTCAAATGCTTACGTACTGGAGCATTCAATTTAAACCAATTTACAAGCCCCGCCTTGGTTTAATGGTCTTTGTTTTTTTAGATGACATTGGCCCAGAAAACCTGTGCGGTAAGAATAACGTTTTGGATCAAAAAGCTACAAATATGAATATAGACATGCCGAAACATCTATCTACTTCACTTAATTAATTAATTATGGACCGTCTATATTGTGATAGGCTGATCATTTATTACAGTACTATACACTACAATATAGGGTAACTTGTGGCTTTCAAACCTTATGTCCATGCGGTTATTCATTTGCTTATAACACTAAAAATAACATAATGCATCTATATCCGTGCTCATACTCTCTCTACAGAGGGTGATTTTTTTAAATTTCGAACGAAAATTTTTACAGTTTTGGGAATGTAGTTCCCTTAACGCCACAGAGAGCGCTCTCAACCGAAATGAAAGGGTCCATGGGCTAATTCATTTTATTTTACACCACGTTTGTACAAATCAACACTTTTCTTCACTATTTTGGGTTATGTGTATCGAAACGTGAACGTTACAAATTACGAATTGCTTCTCCTGTCAATCTTGGGCACTTTTGCCTGTGATGTCAGTGTAGAAAGACACTGTTAGGTTTATGTGATTGTTTCTGTTCAAATTATGAATCCAAAATTGTTTAAAGAACTGCTTGTTGGGTTGTTGCCATCATAATTATGCTCGGGGCTAGAAATTCCTTGAATGTTTTCTGGAAAATAAACACACCCTTATAACCTTTTAAAGAAAAAGTGCGCTGTAACAAACTACCCCTAGTTGCAGCTGGCCCCTTTCTTTCCTGAGTGTTCTTCATGTATCAACGTTCCTCTGCTGTAAGCTTTCGTGCAAGACATTTTGGTCTTATTATTGGTCTCGAGGCAGAGTGAATGCAATCAAAGTCATTTTCTCGGTTTTCGTGTTTGTCCTGCTGGGTGCAGGGGCGCACCCTATGCTGAGGTTCGGTCGGTTAGGAAACAGTTTAATTGCGAAGAAAAGAAGCCCCAGATACACCCACGGGTGTGACTAAATGAAATTGCGTTGTGTGATTCAAATGTTGTCCAATACGAAAAATTCTTCATTCTATATTCAGTTTGCTTTGGAATTGGCTCGGGAATTCTTTTTCCCCTCCTTTTCATCTAGACCATTTTGATTTTGCTCTAAAACAGTATTACTGTTCTGTTTTTTCTATTCCTACGCTTTTTGGATTTTATCTTGAAAATTTCTTTATTCATGAACAAAACCGTAATGTCATTTTGGGCAAAACTTCCAGTGTCACTTTCTGAATATTTTGCCGTAGCAAATTTTCTTTTCATCAGTGATTCATCGTTAGTATGTCTAATCCTCACATCTAGCGAGCAACGTTAAGGTACAGTGTGAACAAAAAAGGTAAACCGAGCAGGGTCCTCACAGCAACGTTTTTAATCGCTCAGAAGACCTTCAAAGATCTTTGCTCCTTAAGAAATGTATCTTTTAATTTACTTTACCCTAAAAGGGTGTAACATTGGTTTAAAGTATTGACGAAGAGTAGAAAGTTCCACAAAGTGTGTCAGTCGAAGAACGAAACCTTTTTGTGAAACCTGCTCCAACGACCAATTCTTGTTTTGCCATTACATGTATGTTGGAGTTCCCTCATTCTTTGCTTACCACCTGGCTATGTCACCTTCCATCGTCTGAAGTTATACCAGGCACGAAATGGGACAGAGGGGTACCCCCCCCACAAGTCCAATCCCTATACACACTCCAACCTATTGTCACTTAACACATCTCCCCTAAATGTCAGAAAATAATTCCTGAGATACTAGTATAACAATGACCAACGCAAAGGCGGGAGGAGGAGGTTCTCTCTGTCCAATAGTTTGCTTCATATGTCTGAAGTACGTCAAAACATATCCCGGCGACTTTGCTCCCCTGTGCTTCCCCCAAGCCCTGAACATTTTCTTTGGCGTCTGTATACATGTAGTTTTGATCTGAATTCGTTGCCCACCACTGGGTGGTTTTGTAGTTGGCCGGTAAAGCCACAGGTTGTGGGTTCGAATCTAGCAAGGCACATTTTGACACATTGCCTCTCTCTCCACCCAGGAGCAATTGGGTACCCTGTGAGGGCAGAGCTTGTTTTTGTGGTCGATTTAGCTGCTTTACTGTCGAAATACTCCCCAGGGAGCTGAGATGGTATTTGGGAAGTTTCACGGTGCATTGAACAGGCGGAATAGTAATGGAAAGCACTTTCATCTAAGGTTAGTTAAGGGCGCTATATAAAAACTGTTGTTGTTATCATAATTAATAGAAATTTCATCTTCATATTTCCATATTCGCACTCAGTGATGGCTGCCGGAATCGTTGGGAAGAAAACTCAGTGGCTTGTTTTACTAGGTTTTCTCTCGTGTTGGTTTTCGTCAGTTGAGGGAATGTGTGAAGAGATGCCGGTAAGTACATGCAAGCTCATTTCTATTCATGTTTCAACAAGTGAAATTTACACCTGTTTGTTTTTTGAGAATTTATTCAGGTGATATTCAAATAAATCCATTTTCAAACAGAGGTTCGGGATGTGCATATGCCTTTGCAATGGAAGCTAGAAAGTTCAGTCAGTGCTAACTGTTCGGACAAATACATCAGGCGTGGTTTGAATTAATTCACGTGTATAAGACCAAGAAATCTCTTTCGCGTTCCCTTTTGGCACTGTGACAATGGGCTTCCACAGCAATCCAGAGTCCAGATGACAGCTAACAGTGGTCATACCGCCGTGGCGCATTTTCTCTTCGTAGCAATATTCAGGCACTAGGTTCTGTAGCTGTTGGACTCCTGTTATTACATTTTAATGGTATATGCATTCCACGTCAACGATGACGCTCTCGTATTATCGCTAAATAACTATATTGCTACAAAATGGTACCAGAAATAAGCAGTAAACAATACAATTCCAAAATTTCGGTGCTTTAGTATCTCTGGAATTTTTCTCCTTTATTTCGACGAACTGCCTTTAGTCTTGTGCTGTTCCCAACGAGAGTATGTGATGATAAGGGGCAGGAACAAGATAATTTACGCGTTCTTCAGGGATTAACACAAACTGGTGAAAGAAAATCAATGTAAAATTTTGAAATTTTTGAGACATTTAAATTATTTTTGTTACGGCTTTTAACAGATACGTTTCAACGTGATCAAGGGCCCTCGCCGAAAGAGATCTCGTTTTAAAGTGGTTGCTTTTTGAAACAAAGAATTTACGTGGATGTACTTCAAGTGTTGGTTAATTACATTTTACATAGAATATGAATTGACATAATGATTTTATGAGCTTCAATGAGCTTTTACCCTACGGGACATGAAAGTTTGTCCATTCTTGATATGAAATTAATATTCTGACAATACGCATAACATGCATGCCTGGACTTTCATCTTGTTCCCAAAAGATAATATTGTCCCAGTGTCTATTCGTCCCAGCGTGCAAGGTGTGAACGCGTTACATACCCTGTGTACATTATTCGAAAGTTTTAACTCGTCCCCTTGTGAAAATGAAAGCAACTGAGTTGAATGAATTTCCTCCTCTTTTCCTTTGTACCTCGATTTAAATAGAGTAAAACTTGTGTCTTTGTGAAAATCGAATACACTTCTGCCTCCCAACTTATTTTAATGGATTTGGCTAAAAGACGTCGCCAAGTTGTGTATCAAATAACTTACCCGCTTTCGCTGAAATAAAAAAAATCGGAAGATGTTACGATTAATTAAGGGCCAAACTCGCCCTTCCATGGAGAAGGTGGCAAATTGTTTTTGTAAGATTTGTAAGGCGATGTTTGAACTGAGATCAGCAATGAAAGTGCAGTGAGTCTTTATGGTTAGCGATTTGATTATAACAGAATGCCTGAAAGAATGGCTGTTACCATTTTGAGTTGTTTTGACAGAAATTGCCTGAATGCCCTATTGTCAGGCACACGACTTACTTTATCCCATACACGGTGGGAGTAAACGAGGCTGTAATAAAATTTCCATTTTAGTGTAACAGAAACACCGACTACTGTGCACTATAGGGAAAGCAATCATTTCAAACTTTGTAGCACTAAGATGATTGCCTCTGCTTTGACGCTATATTTTGAGTAAGAGACCTAAGGGGAAGTTTTATATATGCAAGTATACTGCAATATGCTCGAATTGAAGGTGATACTGTCCTGGATTCCGCCCTTATGTGCTCTGAAACGAGTTCCCCACAGAAGAAAATCAAGAATAGGGAAATATCATTAAAAGTGATACAAAATTGAGTATAGTAGCTTTTCAAACAGCCCCACTTTCAAAATATACAGTGTCCAAAATTTGCCCGGTCAATCTAGGGCACTTGTGCCTGTGATGTCAGTGAGGAAAGACACTGTCAAGTTTATGTTATTGTTTCTGTTCAAATTATTCATCCAACGTTGCTTGAAGAACTTCTTGTTGGTTTGTTGCCATCATAATTATGATTGGGGCTAGAAATTCCTCGAATGTTATTTCAGAAAAGAAAAAGACCACACCACACCAAAAAGTGCGCTGTAACAACCTACTCTTGCAACTGGCCCCATTCTTTCCTGAGTGTACGTCATGTATCAACGTTCCTCTGCTGCAAGCTTTCGTGTAAGACATTTTGGTCTTATTATTGGTCTCGAGGCAGAGTGCATGCAATCCAGATCATTTTCTCGGTTTTCGTGTTTGTTCGTGTGTATAATAGTTTTTCAAACAGCCACACTTTCAAAACATGCTGTATCCAAAATTTTTCCATTCCCCGAAGTTGAGCAGTTTTAGATCTAGCTGTTATTCCAGTCACCTATATATTTTTTTCAAATATGTTCATTTTCGCGTGTGAGCTATCCGCTTTGAGATCTCTAGTAAATGAATGGGCTAACAAACATCTAGACTAGTATTGTTTCATTTGATAAGCACAGTTTTGCCTGGCTTCCACTGTGTTTACCTCAAGAAAGAATGGCAACATGCTCACCAGTCCTGCGGCGCAAGGCTGATTGCACCCTTGTAGTTTTAGGCAACCCGGGATATGGACGTCAAGCTGGTTTGTGAACGACTATAAAGGGACGCGTCACGTCCAATATGGTTCTTTTGTAGCGAAAAGGGGGTGATTCTGCTCGAGGCCGATTACAACTATGCATACAGCTTCTGTACAAACTGTCCAGCACCTGTGACGCAAATGAAACCCGTTTTTGAACGGTTTTTAATTGTACGCGTACGTCATTGAGGCTATGCAATTCCTAGTACTTCAAGCAAAAGATATAAAAGGCACAGAAGAAGTCAGATGAAAAAACCCAAACTCCAGCCGAAAAAATTAAAAGGAGAATTTTAAGGATAAGACGACGAGACAAAAGCCAACTGGTTGAAGGAGATGGCGAAGGAAACCATAATTTGGTGGCATGCATTTAGTGCTGGAAATATGTATGATTTAAACTAGCTGCTAGGTTAGATGTAACCAAACTCGCGTTGTTGTTTTTTTATCATATCCGCATAATTGTAAAATATGAGGTTGGTTTCCTCTCCCGCCAGCATGTTTGTGTCTCTTCGCGAAACGTAGAATGCAATTATCGAATTGTCTGTCCCTGGCATTATTAATGAGATTTGACATTAATGATGTTTTGCTTGTGGAAGCATATTAAAATGGTCAAGTACGATGTTTAAAAAAAGAAAAATTTAAAACCAATAACAAATTGTAATTTTTGACACGCCTGGCTATAAGGGAATATCTTGACGAGATTGTACCGACGGTATAACGATATCATACCAATTGCATTAATAGACTAGATATGATTATGATTTTAATTAACCATGTGATGTTAATGTATATCTTGTGCAAGGGCGAATCCAGAGGAAAACGTGTCGAAGGGCTGAAATTTACGGGGTGGGCAAAAATTTGATTTGTTTTAACATTTAGCCTTTTATGGCCATTCTGAGAGGTGAGGACACGTGATTTGTTTCATTCTTTTAAAAGGAAGGGAAATAAAACCAAAACAAATATCAATTTTCAACTTTATTTTTCAGATTATGGCCACCTTTGGCACGCTCCCGCCTTGATCCGCCTTGAAGCCAGTGTATTACCCAGTATCAATGAAACATAGCTTTTTTTGGCAGGTTTTTTGTAACTCGGTGGGTATCTTTAAGACAATCCCATTGTGACTCCAGATACGTGTAGATCAGTGCGTGTCTCTGTGCGTTAAGAATTATTCATTTGGACGAAAGTTACATGAACTGTGCAGTTCATGTTGTACAAGGCCAACTACGACATTAAGGGGTCGCAATGGCGCAATCACCACTGATGTGCATTTTTGATTCAGCGAGTTTTACTCTCTCTCTTTTATCAATTTCAGGTTCTGAAAAATAGGACTGATGACACGAGTGGCTTGGTCTATCAGTACACAGTCAAAGCAAGGATGGCATCCACATGTGATTCCTGTTCCCGTGTTCTTAACGTTAATACAATAGACGAACTTGATCTGGATCATATCAAAGAGATCGATAACTGGCAGCATTTTTCCAGCAGTTGTAAAGTAAGGATCGGTCGCTGCAACACAATAGAGGTAAAGGTTATAACTAACTGCAATACCCTGGGTAGTACCGCATTCTGGTGTAGATTTTTCGTTAGAAAATTTTGAACCGAGTCTGAACATTTTTAGTCTCCCGGAATAGTTCATAGTCTCCACATTTAATGTTGTTTTAAGAGGTGCGTTTAGTCCTTACAGCTATATTTGTTTTTCTCATATCATTACAAAAAAGCACAAATTCAAACAAAAAAATAACATACATTGACATTAATGTTAACCACGGACTATTTAAAGAGGGGTAAGCAACTACCGACGGCTTCAGTGCAGTAACACCTGCGATCTCGGCTCTATGCGTTTGACGGATTGTTCTCGACTTTTATCGAGAAAACTTGCGACCACACAGACACGTGTTGTTCATAAATTTCAATTTACTCGTTTTGCTTTTACGAAAAAGTTTACTGTATTTATCACTTTTAAAGACAAAAGAAATACATGCATAAACTACGATCAGGTTCATTATTATTTTCTTTCTTTCCTTCCTTGATGAAACGAATCAGTTTTATTTTCGGAGTATTAATCCTGGCCGCCATTTTGAATCCATGAGTCTCGACTGCCGTTTACGTTTACAACCAAATATTTATAAACTGTGGGACATATTTCTGGAAAGCGTTTTAGTATTATTGTTGCATTGTTTTTTTTAGGACGTAGTTGCGCATTCGAAGACAACTTTGGTGTTTTGACTTATCTAATCAGATAAAATTAATTAATTTTTGCTTCCGCCTGGGAAACTATCTGACAAATTTATTAAACGGCATCTACTTGAAATTTTTACATATTTTTGATAATACGGTATATATCATTTTCACCCGACAAAACTTGAAATCTCACTTACTAAGGGTATTTTGTGGTAAAGTTTTCTCAGAACGTATAAGATAAAATACCTCGTGTATCATACGACATGTATATGAAAGGTTACATTCTGACTTTTTTTCTGCCGAAAAATGAAATCTCATTTAATAAGGGTATTACGTGTAAAGGTTTTCTCAGAATGTATAAGATAAAACACCTTGAGTATCCTACTTTATGAAAGGTTATATTCTGACTTAAAAACAAACAAACGAAATGGCGGAAAGGCACAGATGTATGTTCAGACAATCTAATCACATATGACTTCAAGAACTCCTTGCTTCGAGGAGTAATCATGACTGCAGCTTTGCGGGCGTGACGTTACCGTATATTCATCGAAGACAATGTCTTGCCCAGCTTTGGCTGGAGGTGTTACATAATCCAGTGTTATGTTGATGTAATTCTCTTTTGATACTTTGCTGGCTGTAACAGATCCTTTTACTAATAAATCATAATAATGCACGCATGCGCACAAAATTGGCCTTGGCTCGGCGGCAAAAGTGTGAGCGGGCTCATGAAAACGTACAGAGGTGCAGGTTTCCTATCTGTGTTCAATTTTTTCTTCAGAAAATCCCATTAAATAGTTTTTGCTATTAGTTTCTAATCTAAGCGGGATTTTTAGAGCTCTGTAAAAAGACAATCGTGATTTCTCCTGTGCGCACGAGATTGTCGTATCTAAGCCGGTCTCTTTTCATGCTGTTTTATAGCAAACACCTGAATTTATTAGTGAAAAGGTCTATTGAACCAGCTCCAAACTGACGTTGCACACCCCTAGTGTAAATGGTACATGCTTTAACTACCAAATTTTTTGATGTTGTTGGTTTGTGTGTAAACGGGGCGGTTTTTTTTTTGTCATTCCTATATTTGCTTAATTTTGTATGAAGTGCACCAGGGTCCGTGTTTGAGGACCCACGTTTTGAACAAACGTTAGTAACTCTTCTCATCCGAGAGTAAAGTGGGAAGCCAGCATTTATCCTTAGGGACGATGAATAACAAAGAAAAGAAATTTGATGCGTTCCTGAGATATAGAATATTAATTCTGAAGTACAACTTACGTTTTGCAGGGCCTTGGTGAGAACTGCACAGGCTCTCTCAAAGGTAAGACTATACTCTCAGTCCACTGTTTGCAGTTGATTGATGGAATGAATGACTGCCTGTCAAAATGAACCGAAATATCGATAACAATCTTTCCAGTCTTCTTCAATATATGTATGGTATTCGACATCCCTTTTGAAAATTCCATGTAATGAAAAGTGCACTTTTAAAAACATTTCCAGACAACGGGGGGAACTGTTGCTGTGTTGGCATTTAGGAATCCAGAGTTTCGTGTTTGATTCGTAACCCGATGGCCTGTGTGAATTTGGGTCGTTGCTGAAATCGTTTATGGCAGAGAATGTAACCTCAAATTATGAACCATTATTTCGAAAAAGCAGATGAAAAAAACATTTTAGATACTCGAACCTCTGATGCTTCAATCCAAGTGGCTTTTCAATTGTACACGAGTTCTCTGTTTATACATCAGTGAAATGAAAGAAACAGCATACACTTTCATGTTCTTAGAATTTGAACTAACCTGTAGGTCTGTTAGGTTTGGTTAAGCCATTTCATTGTGATTTTAATAGCACATTTACATGTCACGAAACTCCCTAGAAGATAATGCAGAACAATATTTTAACGTATTTAACTTTTGCAAGTGTTTTGCACAGACTGCATATGAAAAGATCTGGACCCGTAACTCCCCAATCAACATGCAGAGGTCATTGGAGCTACCGGGCGGGCATTTTAACGTGCCGAATACAAAGTTAATACATGTACAAAAGCTTACTCGCCATTGTTAATAAAATTCGTTTGTGGCATCTGGTTACAGTGGTGAAAGAGCCTGCCACCACCTTTCACTTTCAGAGCATTGTTAACCACCAATAAAGCACACTTATTCTTCATATTTATCGTCGTTTTCGTCTCACTCTGGGAATGGTGTTGAATTGAAAAAGCAAATTCGTCTTTCAGTAAGAAAAAGTCAAATAACAGTGCTTTATGTAATTGCTATGCCTGATTTCTTTTGCCAATTCTTTTCTTTTCTAGTTTGAATCACACAAAAAACACGTCCAAGTAACCGCTAATTTAGGCCATCTTAACGATACATTCAATGACAAAATTAAATGATCGGTAACATTATGACAAAAAACGAATTTGCTTTTCCGATTCAACGCAATTTTCGGATTGAGACGAAAAATAACGATGAATAGGACAACTGTGTTTTTTTTTGGGGGGGGGGTGATTTACAATGCTCTGAAAGTGAAATCTAGTGGAGGTGTTATTTCCAATTGGAATCAACGTTTAGGGCGAGCGACCCTTCTTTGACAAAATTAAAATTTCCTTTAAGCAATTTTAAACGAAACAAGTGCTAAATTAAGCGGGAAAACTTATACTGACAGGGTAGGCTCCAGGCCCTTGGCATCTATGTCTTTTCAGACATCTAGGGGGATGTGTCAGGAATCATAATCTAGATTGTGTATAGGGATTGGACATGTGAGGGTGGTGCTCATCCGTCCCATATCTTATTGGGTGTATAAATTTATGTCGAACTTGACTCCGGAATTCTGTCTCAACTATCTTGATTTCGGCCGTCGATCCAGTCTTGTTTGAGCCAGCGGCTGCTGCTGTTTATGCCGCCATGTGTCGTAACACAAGGAAAATTGAAGGGGCAAGATACTTTGTGATGAATAAAATCATAGCAACATCGGTCGTATCACGATCTGACCTATCTCATAAAGACATCTGAAAAGAAAAAAAATCGCTGTTGAAGTTTGGCCCGCTTTGGATCCTCCCCCAAAATAATCGTTAGTACTAGAAGGTTGACATACGACGCGAACGGCGACCTTTGCACTTTGTGCAACGAAAAATTTCGAATTCCCTGTTGACAGTGTCATTTGCGCATACGCGCGCGGAGATTTTCACGTTATCTGTGTGGTGGTTTGTTCAAAATCTGTCATTTTGCTTTAATATTATTTTCGAGAAAATAAAGGTCCCTAAGCGTGAAAGATTGAAAACGCTGAAAATGCGAAAGGAATTCCCAAAGGAGGGGTGCGTAGAAAGTAGTATTTTTAGTACTGGTAACTCTTTAAAATTCTCGAAATAATTCATTGTAAAGGTTTATTTTCACTCCGTTGCCTTTCTTCATACAACTTACAAAATTTAGTAATAAGAACCATGTACGAAAGAGTTGCTTTTATCAAAATTACACTGAAACAGAACGATTAATGTCTGTGTAGATCCTCATAATATTCGAATACTTTTTTCAGTTTTTGCTATTCTTCAAAGTCTATACTAGCTCTCATTATTCTTATCATTCCATCGAAACCCAAGTTCATTAAAAGCCTCCTCGAAAAAATATACATGTGTATATCTCAATGAAATACAGTTTTGAAGAAACATCCACTGCTCTTCCAATAATAATGCTTGTAACGTGAAAACTGTATGAATAGGATTATGCAGAGTTATTGTTTTTTTGGAACAGCCTTTTAGAGGAAGGCTGTAATAAAGGGGAACACAAGGGACGGAAAAGTAAAGAAGATTACTTCACATGAAATGACAGCGTGACTTGAGACGATCCTGCTTTTCCTCCATATGTGGCAAAAATTCATTTTCTACTGGAGGGTTTCTACTGCCCCCTTATCAAGTTGACAACAGTCCAGCAGTAATACATTACTGATCATGTCCAACAATCCACTTAGCAAGAAAACGCGTGAAGAAATACCAAATTCTTCGAAACACCCATCACCGTGTGCGTGTCATACACGTAGTTTAACAAGATGCTGGTACGGGAATGTGTTGGACGTGGGCGTGCAGTGGTAACTTCCTGACTATACTTAGGACAAGCTTGACTGAGTTTTTACGCCTATCGCTACGTAGAACAACGACTTACCTCACTGCAAGTAAAGAATATCGTGTTAACGCGTCCGGCAAGACCAACAATGCCGATTCCAAATCATCGGTGACTGTTGGAAAAACGAAGAGGCAGCTAGACAACAAAGGAATACAACCTCAGCATTGTCAGAAACACCGAGAACAAGATCCGCAACAAAAACCTTCGCAATTGCATTGTCATCCAGGGGGTGTCTGGGGAGATTTTGTCAGCAATTTCGTCGCCAACTAAAATAATGCAGCTTAAGAGTGCTGATGGCATAGAGATCGGCTGCGCCCATCGCACGGGCCAAACTGCACCCGGTACACCAAGTCTGAGACCCAGCCACTGTCGACTTCTTCGGTTTGCAGATCGAGTTCATTCTCAAGAATTCTTCCAAACACCGCGAGAACAAGCAGTAAAGGGGGTCACAACGTATTCATCACCAGGGGCGGATCCAGGATTTTCCCAAAAGGGGGGGTGAACTAAAACGTTAAGGGTCACGACCGTAAACTTAGGAAGGTTGAGTAACCAAACAACGTATTGTTTTTACGCCTTGGTCACATTTTTGAGGCTGGGTCCATCCCTCTCTTTTTCTTCCCCCTACCTCTTTTTCTTCTCAGTTTAGTTTATTTACGGATGACATTACACTGAAAGGGAGAGCTGAGCAAAAGGCTCGACAGCGCATCCACTGAAGGATGAACAGGCCCATGTTGCGTATAATCCTAAAATTAAACGAGCTTCACAGAAGTGAAGTTTGATTGGGACCAACATTGTGAGGAATTACTTGTTTATTATAGTAAGTAGCAAATGTTGATGCATTTGACCATCCTGCACATTTCATGATGAAGTCAAGAGGCAGTCCACCGAGGTGTGCCGCTGTTGTGGACGATGCCCGTAAGCTATGAGATTTAAAACTCAGCTGTATCAATGCCAGCCTCTTCCAGTGTACACTTTACCCAGCAACTGATTGTGTCTTTGGATGCAGCTCGATGAGGCTTCCACACGGTTAAAAAGCTTGTTTTCTCCCTGCGAGGCAGTACGAATTTTTACTCACACGGTGGCTGGAGCGGACTCTTCTGTTGAGTCCGTTTCATTTTTCAAGGTTGCAGAGCCCTGAGTCCGTCCTAAAGGTATATTAATGCTTCAGTGGTTGCCCTCTAGCCTCTACAGGTCTTACAAACCACCAAAAACCACCAAACGTACATCACAGTACCGTGGGGGGGCGTTTTCCCAGGCTATCTTGATTTGAAGGAGGGGGCCTCGCCACGCGCCAGCCAAGCCATACCACCACCACAAACCCCCCCAACAAAAATAACACTTCGAAGACAGCCGGAAGAGGCCTCTGACAAGTTCAAGACAGCTGTCACTGATAAAGAACATTCCACTGCCTGCCCCAGGCACCGTTTTTTTGTAAACAACCCATTGTATTGTGCACAAAAGACCACTTAGCACACTGTCCTATGGGAATTGGCTGGAGGCTGGCTCAAGGCGGGCAGGTTTTTTTTTTCATTTTTTTCTGGCTAGGGGAGGCCCTGGCTGTAAAGTGACTAAACCAGGTTTTTCAGCATGTACAGGGGTAGGATATGATAAGTAGTCGTTGCATTTGGACGAAAAAAAAACCCGTTAATTAGCTCCAATGGACTCGCCAAAAGAGGCCGCTCCCTCTTCCCAGGGGTAATTACGGAGACTACCAGTCACTTGGAAGTATCTCTGTAGCATGGTCACAACACAAAGTTTTCTGTTCTTTGGATAACCAGGAACGATTATACTGTTTTGATGGACTCCTGGTCGTGATTGCTTCATCAATACAGGTATACGAAAAGAACATCTGAACTCTGTGACTTCCATGAACCCTAGGTTCAAAGAGTGTATGGTTTGAACTCTTTGGGCAGATAACAATGGCATTAGCGTTGCTAATTTCCTTGTTAACTGTTTCAAAGGTAATTGATTGATCTCATCATCATATCTTTCGATCTGGCGTAACAAAATGCTAACGTCCCAGATTCTGTGCTGTAACTGGAAACAACTTTTAAGCAAACGGGAAACAAGTGAATATTGTCCGAAAGGAACATTACCATCGGACAAGGAAACAATGGCAGACAGGGCCGAAAGAGCAATATTTAGGGCGCTATAACCTGCGCCATCATTGTATAAACTAGTCAAAAAATCAAGAGTGCTATTTAAATCTGGT